GCCCTCGCCACCGGCGCGATGCTCTTCTCGCTGCGGGAGCTGGTGCAGTGGCTGGGCTTCGCCACCTTCGAGATCTTCGTGCACCTTCTCGCCCTGTTGGTGTTCTCTGTGCTGCTGGCCCTGCGCGTGGACGGCCTGGCCCCCAGCCTCTCCTGGTGGAACGTGTTCGTGCCCTTCTTTGCCGCCGACGGGCTCAGCACTTACTTCACCACGATCGTGTCGGTGCGTCTCTTCCAGGATGGAGAGAAGCGGCTGGCCGTGCTCCGCCTCTTCTGGGTGCTCACGGTCCTGAGCCTTAAGTTTGTTTTTGAGATGCTGCTGTGCCAGAAGCTGGTGGAACAGACGCGGGAGCTGTGGTTTGGCTTGATCACGTCCCCGGTCTTCATTCTCTTGCAGCTACTCATGATCCGCGCCTGCCGAGTCAACTAGCCTGCGGAGGGAGCCCTGGACAGCTGGAATGCTTGCTGGATCTCTCGCTGGCCCTCCTTCCACTGTTCGCTGGAAGACAAGTTCAAGTTTGCTTTACACTGGCCACGTCTCAGATTGTTCCCACAGCAGAGCCGCACCGCAGTCCAGATCCTTAAGATGCACTTGCTGGGGCTGCGAGCTTTGAGCTGCAGATCCTTCCTGCGCAGGGTCCTAGGGCAGTTGGCCATTCGTCTGGGACAGCGGGACTTTGTCAGTAAATGAAATGTACTGATGGAGTCTGGGCATTCCCTACAGACCCACAGAAAGCCACTCTAGCGCCCAGGCAGCAAAGCTGGACCCGCCCCCCGCCCGCCCCCGACCGCAGCACTGACGGACCTAGGAGCTCACCAGTCGGTCCTTCGAGCAGACTTCACCACACGAATTCTGGGCGACTCATCGGCCCGGTGCCGCCTCCATCATGTCATGATAGAGGGGCGGTTTCTTCTGGGGACTGGAGACTAAGGCACCCCGCTTCCCCCAGCTGCCAGGAGGAGAGCTCATCGCCTCCACCCCTTGGGGTTGGCGCCATTTAACAGACGTGGGCAGGTTGAAGCCGCCCCAGTTAGGTGGGGGATGGGGGGTAGGCGCTGTGATTTTGGGAATGGTGGAGTTTGTGAGTGGGCCTCTAGCCTCCAGGAACTGATCCTGACCCACATTCTCCGCTGAGGGCTTTAGTTTGATTGCAGTCAGGTGCCAAATGAGAACGTCCACCAATACAAAAAATAAAATCTGAATGTTCTGCTGAGTGAACGGTGGCTGCCTCTCAGTGTTCAGTAGGGTCAAGTTGAGTGTCCACAGTGCTGTGACGGGGACTGAGTTTAAAGAACAGCGCCAGGCCCCAGTTCTTGGAGTGGGGCTCTCTTCGCTTGGAGAGTGTTTTTTTTCCTGCCTGGAGGCCAGTAGGCTGGGTGAGAACACAGCTGAGCCTGTATCAACTTGTGGGACACTAGAGCCTTACTTAGTTCCGGCCTTGCATATAAGTGGTTCATTGTGTCCAGTTGTAAAAACAGAATATGTGACAGGGACCGTGGCCCCCAGACTGACAGTGTTAGCACTTGCCCAGGCCATGTTCTGGTGTGTGCGCGCATGTATATATGTGAAATGCCCTGTCCTGTGTGTTTTCACCTCTGAGAAGTACCCCTGGCCTCCCCACCAGAGTCCAGTAGCTCCCCACTTAGGGCAACTGAAACCATCCATAATCACTGCCAAATGTCTCTGAGGGGTAAAGGTGACCCCACTGAGGCCCACTGCGTTGAAACAGCTGCTCTTTGACCCTCAAGGATTTCTCAGCCTCTGCTCTAGTCTGTGAATTTGGCACACGATATGGACATTGTGACCCTGGACCTGCATGGATGCTGAGTGGCCAGACTAGAGATGTTGGGACTTGGCTGGCTGAGGAGGCAGCTACGTGAACACCGCCTCCTGGAGTAGGCCTAACTCGTGTCAAAGCAGAATTCAAGCCGGACATCAGGACTGGGTTTCCTATAAAGCTAGTTTGTCTCCACATCCTATGTTCCTCTGTTCTATTTTGGGGTTTTGGAAGCTTCCCTGTTACATTAGTTTCCTCTAGGAGCACAGCTTAGAGGGAGATCTAAAGGGAGGAGGCACTGGCCATCTTGAAAACTGGAAAGTGGAGGTCGTGGTGGGTCAGTGGTAGGATCTCACCTAGCATGCAAGAAGAGTTCACAAGATGGAGTGATCTGGTGGCTGGAGCAGTGGGCTCAAGTGTGGGCAGTAAACCCAGGAGCTAAGCATGCTTCACATTTGTCAAGCTGTAAAAACCTGTGTGACAGTATGGCCCCAGAGTATGACAGTATTGGCACCCTAGCCCAGGTCATTTGCTGTTCTGCATGAGATGTCCAGTGCATTGTCAGATGCTAGGCAGTATCCCTGGCCTCTTCCTGCCAAAGGCCAGTATCATCTCTCCAGTGAGAACTGAAAACAACTGTCTTTGGCAGATGCCCCCAGGAATACCCCCAGAGTGATGATGGCATGGGGCAGGGCAGGGTTCGGATCTCTGCACTGAGTCACAGGCAACTCGGTGGCACCTAACAACATGCAAAAGTCCGGGACTCAATTCGGGCTGGTGCACCTTCCTCGCAGCCCCCCCCTGGCAGGTGAGGCTCATTTTTCTGTTAGGCTGAACCCTTTCAGCCCAGTTTCCTAAGACTTCCTGTTTCCCCTCAAGGTGGCCAGTGAGGTTCACCCTGTGCCGTTACTTTGATTGTAACTAACATACTCCTCAATAGCACCATAGCAAATGCTTACAGAAGCATTAGGCAGGGGCAGCTGTCCTAGGACCCAGAAGCTGAGAAAGGCACCCCGAAAGACGTCCACCCAAATCTGCCCCGTCGCTGTTGACAGAGGTGCCCTTGGAGTCCCACCCCAGTTGGTCACTGCAGGGCAGGGGATGAGCGGGTGATCCTCCTTGTCCCCGCAGCTCCCAGGAATCGCCCTTAAAAAGAGAATGGGCACTGCAGCCTGGCGCTAGACTGGAGGAGGTTGTGCCCTCAGGGCCAGCGATACCCGCCCCAACCTCCCGAGGAGAGGAAGTTGGTCGCATGAAGCTGGACGCATGTAGAGCGAGCTGGGGGAGGGGGCTCCTTTGCGTTCGGAGCCTAGAGGCCACCATCTTCGGCTGCCTCATCCTGATGCTAGCGCTGGTACGAAAGGAAGTGCCTCTCGCTTTGTGGTGGATGGCAAGAAGTGGGGTGCAGAGTCCCACATTTCCTAAGTTAGTTGTAAAAACAAATAGGTGCTTTTCCAGAAACCTGATTCCATAGGGCTGGAGCCACTTAATTTGCATTTTGCCAGGACAAGCTGAGCAACCACACCTGGGAAACCAGGTGGGGCGTGGGACCTCGATCCGCCAGCGGAAGGCCAGTAGGCCACCTGTGCACGACCTCCGAGGGCGCGGCGGGGTTAGAGAAGGTACCTGCGCGGGGTGCCGCCGGATGAGCAAGCCACCACCAGAGCCGACCCCGCTTGGACCTGCCCCTGGCGCAAGGTGGCTGGAGCCCAGGGCGCAGGGGCGGAAGTCAGGAAACCAATGAATGGCGCGCGGCCCTGGGGGCGTATCCGGCTCCACCGGTGGATGTTGGCCAGTGACCCTAGGGAGGAGGGGTCAGGGGCGCGTCCTCCAATGCCGAGAACACTTTTCATGCTCGGCCGGGGGGCAAACTCCGCCATAGGTGAGGCTGCCCGCTGGGGGCGGGTCAGAACAGGTCTTCCCCAATGGGCGGATGTCTGGGAGTGGGCGTGTCCGCACCAGCGCCGGCGAAGGGCGGCGGCGTGCGGGTCCCGGGCCGGCGCAGTGCGCGCAGTCGGCGCCGCCGGTCGCATCGCAGCTATGGCGGGTCTAGGGCGGCCCGGTCCGGGACCCCGCGCCGCTCTGCCTGCCTGGAAACGAGAGATCCTGGAGCGAAAGCGCGCCAAACTGGCTGCTCTGGCCGGGGGCGCGGCACCCGGACCTGAGATGAGGGCAGCGGAGACCGCGGCGCCGGCGGCCGAGCGGCTGGTGCTGGCCGAGAGCCTGGGCCCGCTGTGCGAGAACCCGTTCATGCGGCTGGAGTCGGAGCGGCGGCGCGGGCGCGGGCGGCGGGCGGGAGCCACGGGGGCGCGGCCAGCGCCTCCCCTGCTGGAGCTGTGTGTGCCGGGACTGCGCACCATCCGCGCCGACAACATCCTCATCATCGAGTCGGCGCCCGGCTTTGCTCCCGCGCCGCCTGGCCGTGGCGCCGCTGCAGAGATTCGCGCCACCGAAGTGGTGGTGTACGAGGCGGCGCCGGTGCCGGGCCGCGTTAGCCGGCTGCTGGAGAAGTTCGACCCGCCGGCCGGCGCCGCGTCGCGCCCGCCCTCTCCGCCGCGCCGCCGCGGGAGCCCTGAGCGCGCTCGCACACCTGCGCCACTTTCGCCGGGGATACCAAAGCCTCCACCCGCGGTCCGGGGTCCGCCTGCCGCCCCGCGCGTGGGCGAGCGCGCTGCCCGCTTCGAGCAGGAGCATCTTGGCGGCGGGGCCTTCTCTGGAGCCCGGCGAAGCGACTTCCTGCAGAAGACTGGCAGCAACTCGTTCACCGTGCACCCTCGTGGCCTGCACCGCGGCGTGGACGCGTGCCCACTCCCCAGTGGGCGTGCGGCCCCTGAGCCCCAGGCCAGCCCTGCCAATGGCCTCGCGGGCCCCCTACCTGGGCCAGTGTCCCCTAAGGCGACCCAGGGCTCGAGTGAATGGAAGCCAAAGGTGGTGACGGGGGACATCCCCCTCCACCCGGTCCCCAGCCCAGGACCCTCCAGTGCCACTCCAGCTGTGCCTCCGGCCTTCTCCACGCCCAGTCCTGCCAGTGCCACTCCCAGCCAGCGCCAGTGGGTTTCAGCAGCCACCAGCCCCAACAACTCCTTTGAGATAAGGCCAGCTTCCAAGCCAGACATGGAGACCATTCCCCACGGAGACCTCCAAGCGCGAGCGCTGGCCAGTCTGCGTATGAACTCCCGGAACTCCTTCGTGTTCATCCCCAAGCACAAGGTCCCGGGGGCTGCTGTGACTGTGGGGAGGCAACCCGTGGAGCCGCCAAAAGGAGGGCAGGGCCGGGCCTCAAGGCCTGTGGAGCCCAGAGCGCAGCTGATGCCTGGAGCAGAGTACACACCTGCCTGCCAGAGACACCCCTTGGGGGCCGAGCAGCCATGGGTGGTAGAGGAGGGGGCCTGCCCCCGGCCAGCTACCTCTCTCACTGAGCGGACAGTGAGGCCACGCAGGTCCCCATCGCCACCCCTTTCACCCCGGGCTGCCGATGAAGCTGAGCCTACCCAGGGCTTCCAGGCTTCCACCTTGCCCAGGAATGGCCAGGAACCTGGCCAGCTCCCAGTCACCTTCATTGATGAGGTGGACGCTGATGAGACTTCCCCAGAAGCCAGACTCCCTCCCCAGTACCACCACCCCACTGTGCCTGAGCACTCAGGACCTCAGCCCCACCATGGAATCACCTTCACAGTGGTGCCCAAGAGGAAGCCGGGGGCCCTGGAAGAGCAGCTGTCTGGCCAGGCTGGTGGGGATACCCGGCAGCTGGAGGCTGAAGAAGGGGAGGCACGTGTCCCCGAGGGGCCCCACAATGCCCTGGAGACCAGGTTCGACAAGCGCTATCCCACTGTGCATGAGATCGAGGTGATTGGAGGCTACTTGGCCCTCCAGAAGTCGTGCCTCTCGAAGGCTGGGTCCTCGAGGAAGAAGGTCAGTGGTGGGCAGGGCCACTCATGGGAGCAGGCAGGTGCCTTCTCAGAGGTCAGCAGGGAGCCTGGCTGGGTGTTTCTGATGACTGTGGACATGGGGCAGCTGGCCCTGGTGGTCTGCCTGCTGTGGGCTGGGAGGAGCATGTGCAGCCAGGGGAGAGTGTGGGGCCTGGGATGTGATGCGGCCATTCCCACTGCAGAGTGGACTGTGCAGGCTGTGTTCCTGCTGTTGCCAGCCTAGTTGCCTCCATGCTTGGCGATTTACGGGTCTTGGCCCTGGATTTGAGTTGGCACTCCTGTGGCACGTGCCAGGCCTGTCCAGGCACCAGGTTGTGCTTTGGAGGGGGTTTCACATTCAGAGAGAGGGGTGCCTTGGGCCCCTCTCTGATCAGGGCTTTGTTCTCTGACCAGCTATGTCTGGTGGCCTGGAACCCTCCGGGAACAGGAAAGTGTTCCTTGCATTCTTCCTGGTTATTCCTGCCCCTGAATTGTTTCCTGGTGCAAATTCCAAGCCCAGCCTGCATGACTCTTGCCCCAGCTAGAAGCAAGCAGGCTTCCCCTGAGATGGTACCAGTGCCACCTGCTCCTGTCCCAACCCCAGAGCCAGTCTCAGCCTTGGTTTCTCTAGGATGAGGGGGTTAGCAGAGCCGCCTCGACCTGCTGGCCATGCGTCTGTCCGCCACTTCCTGCCTGGACTCCTTCTACCGCAGCTCTGACCCTGCTCTGACCCTGCTCTCCCTCCCACCCCAGGGCGTCCACCTGAGGCCCATCTGCCCTCATCCCACCAAGCCTGCGAGCGTTGACCTTTGTCCTGAGCCCAGGGGAGAATGCTGTGCGCCTGCCCTGTGCAGTGCCTTGCCCTGCAGCCCCACCTGCACTACACACACCCTCTCGTCTTCCTTCTCAGGACAGTGGAGGCGCTCAGGCCCCCATGGCTTTACAGGGGTGGGAAACAGCTCGGGGAAAGCTGAGAGGGAGGACTCATACCCAGGCCTCTGATGCCATAATCCCTACCCTGACCCCTGGCCGCATGTCGGCTTCGGACGGACGAAGCTTCTTTCTGGGACTCAGAGGCCATTGTCCTAGGCCACAGACAAAACTGGGGGGGGGACATTCAGGACCTGGTTGGAGTACAAAGGGTAGAGGGGCCAGAAGCCCAGCAGGGCAGGAAGCAGTGATGGGAGTGAAAAGCAAGGCTGGTTGAGGGGAGAGGCCAGCTTGGCGCTGCGTCCATGACAGCCTGGTGTCCAGATGGATGCTCGGCTGTGGCCTTTGGCAGCCTGGTGTCCAGATGGATGCTTGCTGGGCCTGTCAAGCAGCTTGGCCTGTTGGCTTTGACTTCCTACCTGGCAGAGGGTAAGCAGACCTTGGTCAGATGGGCCTTTGGAGAGGAAGGCTTGCTCAGCATTATTCCTGAACATCCCTCCTGCCCGCAGGCCCTGCGGACTACGTGAACACTGGGCAGGAGCAGGGGCCACAGTGGACATTTCCCCGACCACCCTCACCATTACTTCAAGGTTGTATTGCCCCAGAACCGAGGTTGGCCTCTACTGGCCACTCTCCTCTGCTTCTGCCCTCCCAGGAGGTCTGGAGCTTGGGCACAGGGAACCTCTGGGGTCCTTGGAACTCGCTGACCAGAGGCACCAGTTGCTTTTCTAGAGTGGGTGAGTGCCACTCCGCCCAGACAGCAAGGTGGACCTGCAGGCATCTGTGCTTGTGTCTGCTGAGCCCCCTGTGCTGTGTGGAGCAGTGCCCAGGGGAGCCCTGCCCTTCTAGAGACTGGCCTGTGGCCCGCCTGCATCCCACCTCTGTCCAACTGCTTCTGTCTGTGTCCCGTGAGCTCCGAGGCCTGCCTGGCTCACACACTTCCTCACTTAGCTATCTGTTGGCAGAATCCACCGATGGCCTATCTCCTCTCCCTCTTAGCCAAGCTTCCGGCTGATGGCTGTGGGCACTGCACACCCAGGCTGCCCATTGCAGCTGCTGTCTGGACAGTGGTGGTAGGGGAGGCCGCTGACATGGGTACAACACTTATCCCTCAGTTGCTCCTTCTTCCCTGTTGTCATTTTCTTAGTCATGGTCCTCATGTCCTGACTAGGGCCACTCTTGGTGGCCTGGCCATGGCTTTTAAAAGTCTTGTCTCTGACCTTTAAGATCCTCCCAGACAAAGATTCTGACCAGGCCATATGCTCTCCCTAGAACTTGCATCCTGCCATGTCCAGTGTCCCCCAGCTCTGTCCAGGTCTCCAGATCAGTAACTCTGCCCCTTGCATCACCTGAGCTCTGGCCAAGGCCCCTCTCTTATCTTCTCTCTGTCTGCCTGTTGCTGCAGGACCCTCTCGGGGTCTTTCTGGAACCCAGGGATACCTGATCAAGCCTGGACCCTGCACCATGCTAGCTCATGGGGGCCCAGGGGCCTGGGGTGAACCCTTAGGCATGCATGGAGAAGCAAGTGTGCTGTGCCCCTGAGCACCCTGGTCTGACCACACTCAGCGCAGTGGGTGTGGAGGGGCAGGGAACAGGGCCACTGGCTCTGGGCGTAGGCTGGCTGGTCCTGTGGCCTGGAGTGCTAGGTGGACACCCTTGGGTGATCTAAGTTGGGTGTCCCTAGCAGGGCGTGCCAGGAAGAACAAGAGTATCCTGTGCAGGCTGCCTGGCTCGGACACCCCCACTACCCTCCCGCCCGGGTGGCCCTTCCGCCCAGGCAGTGGGGGACAAAGTCCTCTCCGGCTGGCAGGTGCAGGAAGGGCCTGTCCTGGCTACATCCTTCTGCTGTCCCTCCCAGCCTGAGTCAGGAGGCATCTTGTGACCCACTGACTGCCTGAACAGAGGAAAGGGGCCTGGGGCAGGAGGCCTAGAGGCTGAGGGGATGAGCAGGTGGCTGGTCGCTCAGCCAGGCAGTGTCGAGCTCCCTGCCTGCTGTGTGCCCAGCCCCCTCTGCCTGCCTGCTGAGACTGGTCATGTGGACTGACAGCGTGCTAATCCGCTCGGGGCCTGGCACCAGGCCTTCTCAAGGCCTGAGCGTGGGGGATGGGCGTGGAGCCCATCTGGGTCTTGTGGGTTCTTGGGCACAGGGCCAGGAGTGGCAGCGAAGCTCTCGGCCCCCTAGCCACATCAAGCCTAGGGACAGTCCTTGTCGCCCAGGGGATCAGTCTTGGGGACCTGGGTGACCTTGTCCTGATTGGGGTTCAGCGTCCAGGTAGGGGGCCAGAGGGACTTGGCTATGTGGGGCTGGGCACACATGAGTGAGCACATGTGACCAGGAGAGGGGACAGTGGCTGGAAGGGTGAGGGACGCTGACCTCAGTGGGGCTGTGGCTCTGCTCCTGGGCAGGTCACTCGCCTGACCAGCTCTTCAGGAAGGTCCCAGCCACCTGGTTCCTGTGGCGGGGCGGCTCCCGCCTCCGGCTCCTTCCGAAGAGGGGAATTTGAGCTGCTGGTGGTGTCCTGTGCCCGGGAGGAGTTTAATATTTCGAGCTCCAGCGGGGCTGCTCCCATCTGCTGCGGGCAGGCAGGCAATGTATTCATTACTGACCCCACAGCCGCTCTGGTAGTAGGTCTGCTGAAAACACTGGTGGCTCCTGGGGATTTGAGGCCCCAAGTCCTGAGACCCTGGCTGTCCGTGGCCTCACTGATGCAGTCTCATGACCCCCAGAGACTCCCAGGTGCTGGGAGTGAGGGCCAGACATCCTGATGCTTATGTGCTGGGACCATCTGCCTGTGCTTGTGCTGAGGACACAGTTCCCACAGCCCTGTTCCGACTGCTCCCGTTCCCACAGCCCTTGGTCACTGGGCCTGGGAGAGTTGCTCCCTCATGGACCTTGACTCTGAGGTGAGGGTCCTGGGACCTGAGTCTGTGTAAGTAGCAGAACTTGCATTTTGGGGGCGGGGGGCGTCTCTCTGCTGAACTCCCATGCCTCTGCACTGCCCCGGCCCCAGGGGCTGTTCCACTGGGCTGAGCCCAGCCTCTTGATGGGCCTCTCTCTCTCCAGATGAAGATCTCTTTCAACGACAAGAGCCTTCAGACCACCTTCGAGTACCCCTCCGAGAGCTCCCTGATTCAAGAGGAAGAGCAAGAGGCGGAAGATGAAGAGGGGGAGTCTGAGGGGTCTGGCTCAGAGGGGGTAGCAGAGGAGACTCACTTCTCCCTCTTCCTGCCCCGGGCCACCTTCGTGAACAGCGTGGGAGTAGACAGCCCTCGGCTGCCTGGTGGCAGCTCAGGTGAGCATTCTCTGGAAGGGACTGCGGGTGCAGTGCTGGTACCCCAGGCTCTCATGGGACTCCCTTGACTTGCAGGCCTGTCCAGCTACACTCCAAAACACTCGGTGGGCCTCAGCAAGTGGCAGGGACAGACGGTGGAGCCCCCTCCTCCCGAGGTGGAGCCCCTTTCCAAGGAGGTCATGGTGAGTAGCCTCAGAGCATCAAGGGGTGGGGAAGGGATGAGGAGCCTCAGAGCAGAGGGAAGGGGCAGGGCTTGTCCGATCCTCGTTTGCACCCAAGTTCACAGCCTTACCCGTCTCTCAGCTCACGCCTGCAGGCCAGAACGACCTCTCGGACTTCCGCAGTGAGCCGGCGCTCTATTTTTGATCCTGCCAGGATGGTGGGCAGAGCCCTAGTGTGGAGCCCACCTTGACTACTCACACCCTTACCCAGCCCTCCTTACAGTGCCCACCTGCCCCAGTCTCTCAGGTCTGTGGGTCCTACAAGGGTAGCAGGTGCTTACAGCCAGTGCCAGGGCACCAACTCTTCCCTCAGGCCTGTCTTGAACTCCCTCTGTTTAGGTGGGCTCTAGGATTGAGTAATGGGGTACAGGGGTCCTGCTGGACAGCGGCCCAGTCTGACCTGGTAGGGGCCTGAACAGACTGGCCCAGGTTAACCTCTCTCCTGCCAAGCACTGGCCCCACCCTCCCAGCAGCACATGTAAAACTTTTCCCTGCCAGGGGTGCTCCAGTCCTCTCCCAGCTCAGCCTGCAGTGGCCCACGTGGCCAATGAGCCCTGCGCCTTGAGTAATGGGGGAGTAGACAGCACTGGGCTAATAAACAGCACTGGACGATGACTTCTCAACTTCTTCGTGCTTCTCCCCTTGGGCACTGGGGCTGCAGGGGCCAGGGTCACACAGAACATGGTGCTGGGGCCTGGCACAGCATGGTGGATGGGAAGTGCTGGCCTGAGGCTCTGGGTTCATGCCCACTCACTCCCTTCTACACTCTAGCCCAGCTGTCCTGCCTCTCCTCACCCGCCCTGTCTTCCCTGGTGGAGTTCAGGAACCCCCTGGTGCAGCGCCTGAACAGGCAGAATTCAGAGGCAGGACACTGAGCTGGCTGTTGGCCAGTGCCTAGATGGTTCCTTGCAGAGGTGAGGGCCAGGAAGGACCGTAGGAAGAGTTGAAGATCAAGGGCTGAGTGGGGATGGTGCAGAGCCTGGGAGCACTGGTCTCTGGTTGAAATCTTCACCCAGGAGGTGCTGCAGTGGGGCAGGGAAGTAAATGTGGGCACCTGGGGTGGGCATCAGCCCTGGCAGAAATGCCTGTCTGGGGAGACAGAGCGGAGGTCTTCCCCCCCTCGTTCAGCTGTTCACACACAACCAAAGACATCGTCTTGGAAGCGAGGGCGACTGCTGTTGACATGCTCTGGAACTGTCACTGTGTGCTGCTAAGCAGCCAGGAACACCTGGGACCCAAGGTGGAGGAGTGCCTATGGAGGCCGACTTAGATGGTCTGGGGATGACCGTGTGTGGGAAGCAGGTTAAGCTGTGTGGCCTGTGTTGCAGGAGGGACTGGTACTTCAGGGCAGAGCATGGGACCAGCATGTGGAGGCTGTGTCCTGACTGCATGCCGACTCCAAGACACGCAGCTGGGCAGATCTTGGCAGGTGGCTGAAGGGGAGGCACAGGGAATGCGTGGGGGCAAACATCCGTAAGCCGGCTCCAGGCCCTTTTCCCTGCCCTCCCCCCATGTCCCTGGAGGCCACCCTAGCCAGGCAGAGCCATGTGGGTGGGCAGACAGTCAGCCCATGTACCCAACAGAGGCACAGGCTAGCATGAGTCTAACAAGAAAGTCTTTATTCAGTCACAGGGTACTCGGACAAGCTGAGCTCCCAAGCTGAGGTGGAGGAGAGCCCAGCCACTCCCACATGATGGGGCCCCTACTGGCCAAGGAGGGGAAAGGAAGAACTGCGTGTAGAGACCAGAACTAGGAGCTCCCAGCAGTCCAGAGAGGCCACAGCCTTGCAGCGCCCCTGCCCCTGCCCCTGCCCTACCGTTTGGTGGGAGCATATGGAGCGAGCCTGTCTGGAGGCTAGCTCTTATGCAGAAGGCAGACACAACCACTCAGCCCCGAGACGGCTGCCATCAAGTGAACAAAGATACTTTATTATTAGCAGGTTTCCTGGGGGCCAAGTTGCTGGGCACGGATGGCTGGGGGCCAGGTCCCAGACCCACCCATGGCCTTGTCAGCTGTCCTTGTCCCCACTGCCCTTCTGCTCTGAGGCTATGGCTTTGGTCAGATTACCAGCTTCGTTCTTCAGGACGCTAAGCAGAGTCTGGGAGCTCTCCAGGATCTGGGGTCAAAGAAACGTGCTAAGCCTTGGTGCTCCCTGTCTGAGAGGCCACACACTCCCTTCCTTCCTCCCTCCAGCCAGGCCTGTTCTCTGCTGGTCCCTCCATCCTCACACACAACTGGAGTGGTGCACACAGGCTTCCAGGGTCCAGCTACGCTGCGGCCCTCATTCCCATTGTCAGACGTCCCTGCACCAGGCCAGGGGCCCTCACCACCCTGTCCCCCAGGCCGATGCACACAGCCTGCACCTCACTCAGGGCTGCCCACCTTCAGGTAGGCGGCCTTGGTCTCTGCAATGGTCCGGTCGAACTCGTTCCGAGAGGCAGTCTTTCGAGCCAGGTTCTCATTGACCTGGGCCAACTTCTCCGTCAGCTGCTGGACTTCACTCTGCAGCCGCTGCTTCTCGTCCTCCTCTTGCTGGATCTGCTGGCACAGCTCCTCCCGCTGCTGACAGAGCTCTTCCATACCTGGGGGGGCGGCAAGGTCCTGCTGGCGCTCGCCATCCAAGTCCAGCTGGGAGCCTCGCTGCTTGGGTCTATCCGTGGAGTGAGGGCAAGTGCCCTCATCAGGGAGAAGTCACTTGGCTCACTGAACCCAGTGCTTGCATGCACTCACCATCTGATGTCACGGCGTCCCCAACACGTACCCATTCCAGCTCAAAGGAACCCTACCGGGCGCGAGAGAACCGCTCCGCTGGGTTCCCAGGCTGTAAATCTAAACCGGTAGGCGGCTCGTCTCCGAGGGGCAGCTGCTGGTCGGCTGGAGCCGCCCCTACCGGTCAGCAGCCCAAGGCTGAAGCCACTGCACCACCGGGCGGTGCACCCACTCGGCAGCTGCCGCTTGTCCCTCCCCCACCACCCGCCCTCCCCGCGCCCAGCCCTCCGCGCGAGCGCCCGGCCACACGGCGCGGGAGGTGCTCACACTTGACCAGCTCGTTGTTGTAGTTCTGCAGCACCGCGCCCTGCTGGCTCATCGTGGCCGCCGCCCGGCTCCGGCCACGGCAACCGCCGCTCCCGCATCACCCGGCGCCTGCGCACTGCGTCGAGGCGGCGCGCCGGCCCGTGCGTCACCCCCGCGCGCCGCCGACGCGCCGTGCGCGTCATCACCGCGTCGACCCGAGCCGGCGCGTCATCGAGCTGTGCCGGGCTGATGGCGGCGGAGGCGCGGATGGCAGAGGCGAAGGGGGACGGCGACCCCGCGGCCGGACAGGAGCTGCTGGTGGCCTGGAACACCGTGAGCACCGCGCTGGTGCCGCCGGCTGCGCTGGGGCTGGTGAGGCCGGCATTCCCGGACGCTCTGGGGCGTCCACCTCCGCCCTCTCGCCTTGGTCCACGGCCCCGCGGCGACGGCTCCCCCGCAGCCCTTGTCCCCGCAGCCCTTGGTCCCGCAGCCCTTGGTCCCGCAGCCCTTG